CGTCACATTATAACGTCCCCACGTCTGAAAAGGGCGAGCATGTTTGGTGTGACGGGGATTCGAACCCGCGTCTCTCAGATTGCGAGTCGAGTGCCGTAACCACCTGGCCATGCCGGGCCCAATAAAAATGACTTTTTTGACAAGTATATTAGTGCGCGTTGTGCTGGGATATTTTTTGGTTTGTAGAAATGATGCAATTAGTATTTTTAGAGAGGCCAAAATATTCCTGCTTGGGGCTCCCCAATGGGCTATTACTACCCCTGAATATAAAGTCGTAGTGAAACGGAATGTATCAGAACTACATTTTGGCACTGTTTAGCGTTTAGTAGATAGTGTGATACCACCGAAAATTTATTGCTTTTGGGAAGGGTATCTGATAGCCCTTTTCCACGCAAAATATTTATACTCTCAGATCATAAATACGTATTCAGATCGTAGATTTGGAATTTACAAGACGGGGTTATCCCTAGTATTTAATACCATTGGAAAACAAAGAAATATTGATAACTTTGGGAACCAGGATCATCCAGAAAGAGACGAGCAACAAATCTTTCATCAGCTGTGGTAAGTAAAATGCGGCATTTTGTAACAGACGAGAATCCACGAATGCAAAGGTCAGTGGCAAAAACCGTTCTTGTGATCGAAAACAACATAACCAAGAAGGATCTCTGTATGGAAAAGCGACACAAATCACATTAGTTGCTTCCAAGAAATATCCGTTCAACTGTAACATACCTCAAGCAGCTGTAGAGTGAAATAGATATTCAGGATATTCCGTACGAAAACGTACCAATAAATTTGCCGGAAGTACATGCTATAGATTCCTCGGTGATCTGGCTGTTGAAATGGGTATTGGGAAACAGTCGTTCCCATACACTGGATTACCTATGGAAAGTTCTGAGGGAGGTTATGGTTGCTTTGGACATGACATCCCTACGAGGAGCCTTTTGCAGTGGAAACTACGCCGTAGGTTATTGGGGATGTAGATAGTAATGATGTGATGAGGCTTCATGATCGTTTTCATAAACTACTCAACTTTTGTATATTACTTATTATTTCCTTCCATATCCTGTAACAGACCCTAGAATTATCCGTATTGACTTCTGTGAACTTTTTTCACACATTTTTCTAAAAGTATTTATGCAACAAATATTTTGTGTATATGTGATTCTATTGATCCCAGGATCCCTAATAACATACAAACACACAATTTTTTTAAAACAAATGCTATAAATATTGTAATTAATCCCATTAATTACTACAGGGGCTTCTTATTTATTTTGCATCAAAAATGGATGATTTTATCAGAGTTTTTGAGCCAGTTGTTCACACTGAGCTAATCCGTGTCTTTTAACAAATAAATGAATAAATCATTCAAAGTGATGCAATATATGTACCTCAAGTGTAGTTATTGATACGAAAACAAGTTGTTAATTTGAGAACTAAACAAATGGCAGCCAAATGTATTCAAAATATCATAACAAGAGATACAACCCCAATATTCAAATATGTTTTCTCTGTTCTTAAAGATATACTACCCTCAATTTACGAATATGTTTTGTGAAAGTGGCGAACCTCATATTAAGCCTACATTTATTTTATTGAACTAGATAGATTAGTGTCACTTATGGATGTAGACAAAGGCACTCAATATGATACTGTTACAATTTATTATTGTATTTTTTATTCATGGCAAAGCTGCTAAGGCTCTTTGCAGCAATCTCTTATTTTGACCATAGGGAAAGCAATTAGTCAGCAGCATCTTATCACCCATCATCCCCACTAAAGGATCGACTGTTAATCTTATAACGCACCGTAATCTTAAATTGCAGGGAATATCATGTTGTATGGCACGGATTCGAACTCGGTTCACCAGCTCCAAAACCCAGAGCTCTACCATATGCAGGGCGAACCAACGACCTATTATTAAAGAAATATGTATTGGAATATTTTCAGAGATTAACTAAATTCGGAGTACCGTTACTAAAACAGCATCTATATCTTATTATTTTGAATCAATTCTAAGTATGCAAAATATATTTTAGTATATGAATTTAGTTAACGATTCTTCTTTTGCTTTCTTTATATATTTTAAACCAAGTCAGTATTGTATATATATAAATACGTAAGCTTAAAGAACATTAATGTAATGATAAAACATATGGGAGAAACACCTACTTCAGGTGCTGGACGTAGGTCCAGCTCATCTTTCCATATTTCGGTCATTTTTTTTTTGGCGTTCGATAATCCTCAATTCTAAGCGAGTGTCGTCATTTGAGAATAAGAAAAGAGCAACCACCGTCTCAAATCATATTTTAAAAATTGAAACTCCTATTTTAACCTAGAGTGAAGATAAAATAGGTTAAGGTTCTCTAACTCACCATCTATTTTACTACATGGTTAGTGAGTGTTTCTATAACACACCTGTCAATTTACCTTAGAGTTACAGCCGAAGACATGTAGTGTATCGCTAAAGTGCACTCTGCTACAAATCATTGTCGTCCAATCACCAGTCTACATTCGCCACGTGGTTAGACCGGTTATGAACGTGGACCCGACGCCGGTTACGTCATGTGTTGACCTTGGTGAAGAGGGCAATAGACAAGTGGGGGGCAAATGGCTCGAGGCACGTGAGAAACATAGTCTGAATGATTTCGTTGGTAGGCGTAGTAGTTGTGCCATACTAGAGTTCGCCATGTAATAAAATCTTAAGCAAACTTTCGTCAAGATTTTGAAATTTCCCCCTGCACTCTGAACAGGTTGACGTACGTATAATATGAATTGAAACATATATATATATTAACTTCCCTTTGTTGCATACATATTCAGTGGCAGTGACAAGATCACCTTGGTTCTTTCGCACTTAGTGACTGAATTTGTGTTAAATTTTCAAAAATAAATTTATGACACGTAATTAAGAATTATTTTTAAATTTTGGAAATAATTCTATGTACTTAAATTTTGGTTTCATTTTATTGTTTTTGTTGTTTTTTTGATACAAAAATCATTGATTTATACAAGAAATGACATGTGAAGTAATTTGTTGTCTCAGTCCGAATCCAGTTAGACAAAATCAATATTATGTGAATAAATGTACTTCATTCCTTTTTATAAATCGGGTGTATGTAATGCTGTTTTGTTTTTAAATATCTTTAGTGTCGCCCCCCCCCAGTGGCACAACGGAATGTCTGTGGACTAACAACGCTAGAATTCGGGTTTCGATACCCGTGGTGGGCAGATCACAGATAGCCCATTGTGTAGCTTTGTGTTTAATTACAAACAAACAAACAATCTTTAGTGTCCAATAATGCTTGGAGACGGCTTGAATAGGTAATGAAGAAAAACTTGTATTAAAGTTTTTCTTCAATTACCCATTCAAGCCGTCTCCAAGCATTATTAGTCTCAAAATGGGTTCTTCGTCATCGAATCTTTAGTGACTATACACCTGGAAAAAAGTTAAGCACCCCCAAATATTTTTCAGGATTGCTTATTGAAAATAAGGTTTAATTTTCATGATGTTGAGCAATGTTCATAATTTCAAACATAATTAAAAGAATGTGAGCGTTCAGGTGTGACATTTAAATCAGGCGCGTTTTTTGCCCCAGG